GCCCGTGGCCGTCTCGGCCTTCTATGCCGGTGAGCGGCCGGGGCGGGGACCGGGTCCAGGGCGAGATCCGACGAGGGGGCCTGGAGCCAAGGTTGGGGGACTGGAGGCCGGGGCTGGGGGCTCCTGGGGGCTGGGATGGAGCCAGGGGCTCTGGGGCCGGACCCGGGCTGCAAGCCAAGGGGTGGGGGTGAGGGCAGGATTTCAGACGGCTGAGAGCCGGAAGAGACTCCGGAAGAGCCGGAGGTCGAGGTGCAAGAGTTGACAAGTCTGGGGACAGGAGATTAAGGGGAGAAGTTCAGAGGTGGTGGTTGGAGAAGCGGAGAACTAGGAGGCCAGGGTCCAGGATCGGAGATGGGACGCTGGGGTTGTGCATAGTTGAGTGGCTGGAGGTTTCAGGGAGCCTGGGAAGTCGGCTAGACCTGGAGGGAGGCAGGACTGGGGGGCCGCCTTTTCCCCTTGGAAAAGGTCCGAATAAACGTCGAGGAGATCATAGCTCCTGTCCATGGCGGCTGCAACCCTAGTGACCTAGTTATGGGACAGGGCAGTCCTGCTCCTGGGAAAATCCACGCTCGGGGCTACGGGCCCCCTTTCTACTGGCAGACACATCAATGAAATGGGAGGGGATTGGGGACCATGGGCGCAGAGCAGGTGGAACAGAGTCCCCCAGAAAATTCATGCTCAAGGCCTCAGTCCTGCTTTGGTAACAAGAATTTCCTTTGGGGGTGCATTCCCTGTATAAAAAAGCCACAGAAAATGTGAGGGGACCTCGGATCTTGCCATAGAGAACTCTACGCCTAGGAAAAGACCTACGAGGCCCTTCCTCAGAAAATCACCCTGGGTCCTAAAGGCCTGACTTTGGGAATCTTCCACAGGACCTTAAATGCCAAAACCAATGCCAGGGGCTCTGTAGCCTCTGTCCTCCTAGCAGTTTCTATAGTGGGTGAGGGCGAGGGCAGGGGAGTGGCACCAATTCTGTAAGAAAATCCAAGGGTCCTGGGCCTGGCCTTTGCATTGGGGATAACAGATTCCCCCAAGAAGGTCGTCTTTTCAGTGGCTGTTGGTGCCTTCTAAACTGGGTTGTGGGGCTCCAATCATCTCCTTGAAGAAACCACAATGCCTTATGGGTCTTATTTTGGGGAGCCAGATTCCGTTCCTTTTCTCACAGACCCCACAGGAAGCATGAAGGGCCTCGTTGCCTGCTGTGGGCTCAGCTACCCCATGGCTGATGGGGTCAGTGGGGTCAGGGAAATAGAGGACCCAAGGCTGGGGCTGCTGGGTGCCTGGTACCAAGGTGTGACTTCCATGCCACATTGGCAAGGAAGTTCCTCGTGGCCATTACTGCAGTGGTCTTGAACGCTGGTGAGGATTTGGGACCTAGGGGCTGGGCCTCTGGGAACCGGATTCCCATTTGATCTTCAAACAACCAAGGGAGGCAGATCCACTTTATTATTGCTGTGTTACAGAGTAGAAAACTGAGATTCGAAGGGGGTTAAGTGATTTGCCGAAAGACAACATAATCCACACAATCCATTCCATACCATGTTCTTTTTAAAAAAAAAAATTTTTTTTAACATTTATTTATTTTTGAGAGATAGAGACAGACAGAGCACGAGCTAGGGAGGGGCAGAGAGAGGGAGACACAGATTCCAAAGTAGGCTCCAGGCTCAGAGCTGTCAGCACAGAGCCTGAAACAGGGCCCAAACCCACGAGCTGTGAAATCATGACCTGAGCCAAAGTCGGACGCTTAACCGACTAAGCCACCCAGGCAGCCCCATACCGTGTTCTTAATCTTGGGTGTTGTCACTGTGTGTGAAAGCAGAAAGAAGCCTCGGTAACCAGGCTCCAGGAGGCCTGCGGTTCAAGTCTGAGGCCCTTGGCTCTTGACATGGATCCCTACCCAGATGGCTGCTTTGTTTTGCTTTTTAGATGTCTGGCCTGATTTCCCTCTCCTCGTGTGAAAATGAAGGTGGGAGGAGTGGGTTGGATGTTTGTTCCAGGCATTTCCAACTGGGAAATTGCCTGTATCAGATGATCCTTTGTGCTGGGGCCACCTGGGGGAGCTTGGATTATGATGGAGAGGTCCAGCTGGGAATCTGCACCCGGGTTGGACGTGGTATAACATTAACCTCCCCAAGCTCATTTTTCTGCTTCTGTAACTACCGACATCCGCAGATTGTTGGAGAGGGGAGTCAAATGGAATAAGGCACATAAAGTGCTTAACGCTTAATTAGTGCTGGGTAAGTGGAACCCGACCTTGCCAATACTTCCATGCAAGGGTATTCTCCTAAATTCTGTTCTAAAAATCCCTTGCAATAGGCTGAAAAAAACACCCCTCACTTCCCCTTCCTCCTAATCAGATTTGAAGGAGAATTTTTAAACCACTTTTATTTTTACTCCTTCCTAAAATAGGAGGATTTTGTCTTTGCTCCCTGAATTTCTTTTCAGGGTTGTTGAACATGCAAAGTTTTCAGAATGTTTTTAGGAAGGCTCAAGCGATGTTCTTGCTTTCAGATTCTGATTGGAATAATGATACTGGAATAATTCTGATTAGAATATGGAGGGGGAACTTTGTAGTTGCCAGAGCACCCAGGGTCCGTCAGCCACTTTTTTTTTTTAAAGAAGGAAATTAAATATTTGTTCATTCATTTATTATTTTTTAAAGTTTTTATTTTGAGAGAGAGAGAGAGAGAGAGAGGGAGAGAGAGCTCACGTGTGTGCGCCTGTGAGCAGGAGAGGGACAGAGAGAGAGAGGGAAAGAGAGAATCCCAAGCAGGCTCCCCGCTGTCAGCCTGGAGCCCAACGCGGTGCTTGATCTCACGCATCAGGAGATCATGACCTGAGCCAAAATCAAGAATTGGACGCTTAACCGACTGAGCCACCCAGGCACCTCTATATTTCTAAAATTTTAAACATCTTACAAAAAGTTTGGAAGGCAGAGAAGTCACCAGTCATCCTGCTATCTGAATGCTGTGAATTCTCTTAAAATTAAAAAAAAATGTGTATTTTTTCTATCACTTTTATACTCTGCTATTTCTACTTCATATTTATCACTCCTTTAAGATTTATCCAGTTTTTGTTTATTTATTTAAGGATTTTTCAAATTTTATTTTTTGTTTTTAAAAACTGTTTATTTTGAGACAGAAAGATGGAGAAGATGCGCAGGGGAGGGGCAGAGAGAGAGGGAGAGAAAATCCTAAGTAGGTCCTTGCTGTCAGCCTGGAACCCGACTTGGGGCTCCATCCTACGAACCGTGAAATCATGACCTGAGCCAAAATCAAGAGTTGGATGCCCAACCAACTGAGCCACCCAGGTGCCCAAAGATTTATCTGGTTTTAGAATGGAGGTTATGTCGTTTTCACTGTTGGTTCAGAAGGGACATGATGAATGAGAATATACCACTGGCTACTTTGCATTTTGAAATAGGGAATTTTAACTGTTAGGCAGTATTCTTCCCACTGAATCTTTCCAAAATTCTTTTGGTGTGTGTTTTTACAAATAGGCATGAGTATTCTCCAGGAAAAGGATGACATATTTTTGGACCTGAAACAGAAATTCTGGAATACGTACAAGGTAAGAACAGACTTTCGAAAAGGTAACCCAGATCTTTTCGTATATTTGTAAAATTAAGTACATTTTAAGGAAACTCTTCTTAAGTTAGGGCTCCAGTTGGTTGGCACCAGGGGACGGTATATTGATGGAGAGATCTTAAGATTGTTTTGCTAGTGAATGAGTAAGACGCTTTAAGGGTGTGTCTATATTGGGAGTGTCTATACATGCGTGTCTGAATTTTAGTCAATGTTCATGATGAGTCCTGTTTTGAAAATTTACTCTTATCATGGTTATAGTTTATTTAGTGAAGTTTGGACCCAAAGAGGTTGGTGCACAAGAGGAATAGTAACACATGAGTGATTAATGGAATCATGCCCATTCAGAGCCAATGTCCCCAGGTGTACATTCTGCTGCGTCTCTGTGAAGGATGTTCCCCAAGATCACTTCTAGACTCAAAGCAAGTCACGTGTCGCACCGTTTGCTCAATACAAATATACACAACCCAGTCCAACAAGTATTTATTAACTTATTCCCTGAAGATTTATTGAGCAGCACCCTGAAGTCCTGGCAAAATCAGGGGTGCTTTCTGTCCCTGGCCTAGAGCATGTTTTATTCTATTAATCCCAATTAAGTGAGTTTTCAGGAGGGCCGAATATGCACAGACTGGGCCTTGGGCTTCATGTGTGTTTAACTCCCTATCAGAGGCGGTGCCAAGCCACACCGGGCTATTGCCTGTACTGCTTCTGGCATCTTCTATGGAGTAATACTGAGCCCCAGAATGAGCATTGCCTGCTTGATGGTTGGAGGCAGATGGTAGGGAGGGTGGAAGCTGCATGCTCCCCTCCCCACCCCCCCTGCCGTTATGCTCAGGGACAGTTTCTTCTCCTTTTTTTTTTTTTTTTAATGTTTATTTATTTTTGAGACAGAGAGAGACAGAGCGTGAACAGGGGAGGGTCAGAGAGAGAGGGAGACACAGAATCTGAAGCAGGCTCCAGGTTCTGAGCCGTCAGCACAGAGCCCGAAGAGGGGCTCGAACTCACGGACCGTGAGATCATGACCTGAGCTGAAGTCGGACACTCAACCGACTGAGCCACCCAGGTGCCCCAGTTTCTTCTCCTTTAATGGGAAAGAGTATTCAGAGCGCTTGTTATTTCCCTTGGGGCAGAAATCAGGAGCCCATCGTGACTCACAAATCCAAATGTGATTTCCTTCTGCTTTATTTTGGAAAAAGAAACAAGTTTGCCCATTATGTCAGAGATCCTACGGAGGCATCTACCGTGACGTTTAAAAAAAAGAGCAAGCCAGCAGAATTGGGAAAGAAAGGGGCTTTAAGCAGGGACTTGCAGGTCTTTCAGATTCTCCTCCCTTAACTAAGACACACAGGCCACCTTTACTGGGTGTTGGATATCCTGCCAAGGATCCTATACGTCAGGAATAGTGGCAGGAGAAACCAGCTAGAGGGTCAGTGTAACCGAGGTCACATTAGAAACAGAGAATGGCGGAGGAGTGCCTGGGTGTCTCAGTCGGTTAAGCGTTGGGCTCTTGATCTCGGCTCAGGTCATGATCTCACGGTTCATGAGATCGAGCCCCAAGTTGTCAGTGCGAAGCCTGCTTGGGATTTTCTCTCTCCCTCTCTCTCTGCCCTTCCCCCACTCATGCTCGCAAAATACATAAATAAAACTTAAAAAAAATAGGACTGATTGGAGAGCTATTTAGGAGGTGGAATTTGTCGCTCTGGGTGAATGATTGGTGGTCGGGGTAATGGGGCAAGGACGCATCTAGGATGGCCTTGACTGGTAGCTCATCACTTGGGATAGTGCATAGAGGACAGCGAGCCGATTGGGGAAAAAAGATAGATGAGTTCAGTTTGAGAAATATTGAATTCTAGATGCCATCAGAATATCCAAAGGGAGACTTCCAGATGTACAGAGGAGAGCCCAGAGAGAAGGACATTAGATATGGGAGAAACTGGTTAAAACCGGGCTTTTGAGCCAAACTTGATCAATGAAACCAAGAGCACAAACACTAGGAGTTGGAAGACAAGAAGCGTCCAAAAAGAATCTGTCACAAAGGCTTTCTTGTAGCCCAAGGGACATGTGAGTGAAAGCAGAATTGCTTTTTGGTTGCTGAGGAATCAACCCCATGCCCAATCCCAAGTTCTTTGGATGAAGGTGGAAAGAACATGTCTCATTTATTTGTTGTTTACATGTAGGTAGTACTTGAGTTTTTACTTTGTTTTGTACAGATAGCTTGCAATTTATGTCTCCTTTCACTACCTGCAATATGGTGGCTCAGGTATAGTCCCTCTTAGAAATATATCTAGTATTACATTCTTCTCTTTTATAGGTTTTTATTTTTTAAAATTTTTTATGTTTGTTTTTGAGAGCCAGCAGGGCAGGGGCAGAAAGAGGGAGACACAGAATCGGAAGCAGGCTCCAGGCCCTGAGCTGTCAGCACGGAGACAGATGAGGGGCTCCAACTCATGAACCGTGAGATCATTAACCTGAGCCGAAGTCAGATGCTTAACTGACTGAGCCACCCAGATGCCCCATCTTTTATAGGTTTTTAAAACTTTAACTTGGAAATGATTTCAAGCTGACAGCAAAATAACAGAATAGTTCAAAGAATACCCTTTACCCATATTCGCCTATAGTTAACATTTTGCCTATTTGTTTTATTATTTCCTGGCTCTATCCATCTATCCATCGATCTTTCTATCTGTTTCTCTGGATCATTTGAGGGTAAATTACACACAGAATTACCCTGTACCCCTAGATACTTAAGTATCTATTTTCTAAGAATAAATATGTTCTTTTATATAACCACAGCAGAGTTAGCAACTTCGATACATTTAACAACGGTAATAATCCTTTTATCTCACCTACCAACTTTATACCATGTTTGTAAATTCACTATCTAATGGTCTTTACAGGATTTCTTTTCCTTTCAAAAGGTAGAGGATGCAGTCTAGGGTCAGGTAGTGCCTTTAGTTGTCCCGTCTCTTTAGTCTCCATTAATTGGGAAAATTTCCTTAGCCTTCTTTTGTCTATTACAACACTGATATATTTTTCTTAATTTTTTTATTTTTATTTTTGATAGAGAGAGAGAGAGAGAGAGAAGCAGACTGCTAGTGGGGGAGGAGCAGAGAAGGAGAGAGAGAGAGACGGAGACACAGCTGTCAGCACAGAGCTCCGTGGGCGGGGGCTTGAACTCACAAGCCATGAGATTGTGACCTGGGCCAAAGTCGGACACTTAACTGACTGAACCACCCAGGTGCCCCTCAACACTTTAGTTTTTGAAGAATACAGTTTTGCTTCTCCCCTTAAAAAACAGCAACAAAAAAAAACCCACAACAAACCCCCCAAAACAAAATACTCCCTTTTTGGCGGTATTTTGTAATATACGAGAATGTCAGCTAAACTTATTCTATAGCAAGAAATAGTAGAATATATTATTTGCCTTCAATCTTTTTACATAAAAAATCAAACGTTTTAGATAAAATTAGAGTCCCCTCTGGCTCTCATTGTGTGACATAGACTATGTTATTAACAAATCATTCCATGAAGAATGAAAAATTTAAAACTTTACTGATGATCCTTTTATAAATATATTCCTGGGGCATCTGGGTGGCTCAGTCAGCTCAGCGTCCAACGCTTGATTTTGGCTCAGGTCATGATTTCAGGGTGGTGGGTTGGAGACCCACATCAGCTCCGCTCTGGGCATTGAGCCTGTGTATGACTCTCTCTCCCTCTCTCTGTCCCTCTCCCCCACTAGTGCTCTCTATCTCTTTTAACACACACACACACACACACACACACACACACACACACACAATGTGAGAAATGGTACTGATTCTGAGAGTCTTCTCATTCTGGGTCTGTGGATATGACTAATATAAATATCTCGTACCTGAAATCTCTTTGCACAGCTCTTACCCTCTTCTGCTTGAGAGACTTTAAGTAGTCTGATTTAATCGGCTTAGTCTGAAACATAATACCACCTCCACATTTTATCTGCCTGGTATTTCTTAATCTTTCATGGCATGAGCTGTGGGATTGTGTGTGTGTGTGTGTGTGTGTGTGTGTGTGATTAAAACACATTCTAATAAAGTTTTTCTTTATTCCAGAGTGGTCTGATGTACTGGCCCTTTGTGCAGGTGAGTGTCGAACGACTCAGAATGCTAATTCATGGCTGTGGTTTGTCTGGAGCCTAGCATACTCTTTCTTTCTGTTACAGCTGACCAACTTCAGCTTGGTTCCCACGCACTGGAGGACAGCTTACACTGGACTTTGTGGTTTTCTGTGGGCTACCTTCCTCTGCTTTTCACAACAGAGCGGTGATGGCACGTTCAAGTCTGCTTTCACCTTCCTTCATGTGAAAGAGGCCGGTGCCGTTGAAAGGCCTCCCGAGAAATGAGAAGCCAAGGACTCCCTGACAATGACGGATTTATTTTATTTTATTTTTTAATGCAGTGGATTGCTTGCAGATAAGAGTCTACTCATCAGTTTTGTGCTCCATTTTGGAGAATTACTATTGCATAGACCCACTGATTAAGTATCAATGAATACTTTAAATTTTATTCAAACCTTTTTTCCCCATGCTAGTCTGAAAGTATCACTTCTCTACTGTGTTCACGTCTCTAATACTTTGGTGACCACTGTGCCATCATGGCATTTTGCAATTATTACTATTTCTAGTCTAATATTTTAATGCCAGTTGATTTAAAGAACCCATTTTGCTTCTAAAATCTCAGGTTGTCTCCTAAACACTTTGGATCTGTTGAACTTTTATACCAAAAATATTCCTTATATAAGTAAATTGGTGTTTACATAGAGCTCAATCAAGGAGAAGATTGAATAACTGGATTTTTTTTTTTCTGGAAATACTTTATAGAATAATTTCTTGTTCTCCTGATGCTAAGTTCTGTAAGAACATTTTATGCCATCAAAAAAAATAATAATAATAGTATGTGATTGGTGTGTCCTGTATAGAAATGTATTTCATGGATGTCTTCTACTATTGTAATTTTGAAAAATTTTTTTTAACGTTTGTTTATTTTTGAGAGAGAGCATGAGCAGGGGAGGGGCAGAGAGAGAGGGAGACACAGAATCTGAAGCAGGCTCCAGGCTCCGAGCTCTCAGCACAGGGCCTGATGCAGGGCCCAAACCCACGAACCGTGAGATCGTGACCTAAGCTGAGGTGGGAAACTTACCCGACTGACCCACCGAGGCGCCCCATACAACTATTGTAATTTTGAAGTTAAGTACTTTTTAGTTCATGTGTTCTAGTTTTGAGCAAATTCAGTTGACCGAAGTATCCCATATCTGCATTCTAGACTTAGGAAATATACACAACATCTGGCTTCTTAAAGAAATATATTGAGGGGCGCCTTGGTGGCTCAATTGGTTAAGTGATGACTTCGGCTCAGGTCATGGTCTCATGGTTTATGGGTTCAGGCCCCACGTCAGGGTCTGTGCTGACAGCTCAGAGCCTGGAGCCTGCTTTGGATTCTGTGTCTCCCTCTGTCTTTGCCTCTCCCCCTCATGCTCTGTCTCTCTCAAAAATAAAACAAACATTTTTAAAAAATTTAAAAAAATATATTGAGTGAAGTTTCTTTTCTAAGAAAATGAACAAATTTTCTTCCTCTGGAAGGAAAACTCTATTTCATAGGTTTCCAAGGAAAACAGTTACCCCAAATTTCACACCGATGTTATATTTTTAAAAATCAGTGTTTTCAAATAAATCTTTATGGGCAGTCTTTGAGGCAGGTGTGAGAAACCTGATCCAGACTTTCTGATTTACTGTTTGTCTAACCTCAAAACCAGTGGGTCTAAAAATGCTGTGGATATCTCAGGAAGGTTCAGCAAACTTCACCTAAAAATTGCACCCCAAAGTTGTTTTTCACGAGTTTTTCATGAGCATTTCACAAGTTTTAACATGGGAAGAGCTGAAGTGTTCATGCATTTATCTTGAGAATTTGTATTTAAGATTAATTAAGGAATGTGCACTTAAGAATTTTAAGCATATAATTCATATAATTTGTAATATAAATGTGTTTAAGTCCTAACTATATCATGTCTATGATTTATTTGAATTTACTAGGTATTAATATATTTTACATTATTGGGAGAATGGTGAGAACGTTTCTAGATAGCTTAATTCTAAAATTTGTTACAGTACTCACATTATTTTGAAAGTAGTTAATACAACAGCTATTTCATAATATATAAGACAGATTTTGTCATTGAAAAAGTGTATCTAGAGTAACTATGATAAACTACTGCCTGGCAATCTTTTTTTTTTTTTTTATTTTTTATTTTTATTTTTATTTATTTATTTATTTATTTATTTATTTATTTAAAATTTTTTTTTTCAACGTTTATTTATTTTTGGGACAGAGAGAGACAGAGCATGGACGGGGGAGGGGCAGAGAGAGAGGGAGACACAGAATCGGAAACAGGCTCCAGGCTCCGAACCATCAGCCCAGAGCCCGACGCGGGGCTCGAACTCACGGACCGCGAGATCGTGACCTGGCTGAAGTCGGACACCCAACCGACTGCGCCACCCAGGCGCCCCTGCCTGGCAATCTTTTAGACGAGCTTCAGCATTACTTTTTTGATGGAATAATTGCATTTTGTATAGAAGTAATTGGGAACACAGGGGCGCCTGGGTGGCTCAATCGGTTAAGCGTCTGACTTCGGCTCAGGTCATGATCTCGCAGCTCGTGGGTTCGAGCCCTGCATTGGGCTCTGTGCTGATGGCTCGGAGCCCAAAGCCTGCTTCAGATACTGTGTCTCCCTCTCTCTCTGCCCCTCCCCCACTTGTGCTCTGTCTCTCGCTCTCCCAAAAATAAATAAATATTTTAAAAGATTTTTAAAAAGAAGTAATTGGAACACAGACCTTGTTTATACCGTCAAGGGGGAAAAGCTTATTATTCATAAATGAGTGTGATCATCTTTACTCAGTCACGTGCTGCCCTGTGCTGTAGAGAACATATAGCATGCATTCTCTGAATTTTTGCAAGTGATACACTTCTGATTTTTATGCAATAGTACTTTCATGTTTTAGTGTGAGAAATGAAAGTTACTCCAAGTAATGCAATGTTTGTCTGTTTTAAAATGCTGCTGGGGCACCCTGGTGGCTCAGTCCCTTAAGTGTCCAACTCTTGATTTTGGCTCAGGTCAGGATCTCATGGTCCCTGAGTTCGAGCCCCGCATCGGGCTCTGCGCTGACAGCATGGAGCTTGGTTGGGATTCTCTTGCTCGCTCTCTCTCTCTGCCCCTCCCCTACCCCTCCCTCTCTCAAAAATAGATAAATAAACATTTAAAAAAATAAATAAAATGCTGCCACTCTTGGTAAACCCTAAACCTCCCCAGGTTTGGAATTGAACAGGTGGCCCCCACTGTTCCTCCTGATTTTCCCATTCTGTACGGTTTCTTTAACGCCCTTGTGTGTTGCCCACCGTGTTCTTCTGGTCCCGTGCTTGCTCAGGCAAAGGCAAAGCCTATAATTCGTTTCCATGAACAGACATGAGACAGACCAGATTTTCAAAGACAACTTTACTTAATGTGTGGAAAACAAAAGGGAAATTTGAAAGGGGAATTTGAAAAATGTCAAAAGCATTTTTTTAAAAAGAAAGATGCAAAAGGGTATATGACATGGCACTATTATCATTTTTTTAATGTTTGTTTTATTTTGTTTTTGAGAGAGAGAGAGAGCACAAGTGAGGTAGGGGCAGCAAGAGAGGGAGACATAGAATCTGAAGCAGGCTCCAGGCTCTGAGCTGTCAGAGCAGAGCCCAACGTGGGGAGGGAACTCATGAACCATGAGATCGTGACCTGAGCTGAAGTCGGATGTTTAACTGACTGACCACCCAGGTGCCCCTGTCAAAACGATTTTTTTATAAAAATTTTACAGAATACTGAATTCTTTATTTTTTTCATGTTTATTTATTTTTGAGAGAGACAGAGAAAGAATGCAAGCAGAGGAGGGGCAGAGAGAGGGAATCCCAAGCAGGCTGTGCACTGTGAGTGCAGAGCCCAATGCGGGGCTCAAACTCATGACCCATGAGATCATAACCTGAGCCGAAATCAAGAGTTGGACACTTAACTGACTGAGCCTTTGAGGTGCCCCCAGAATACCGAATTCTGGTCGTCTCATGAGTTAGTTTGAACTCAGAGATTACAAATCCTGTCCTTGGTCCAGGCATTTGGGGTAGTTACCCTGTGCCTCGAATAGTACCTTCCAGCATTCCTTTTTTCGGACTCTGTGATTGTCACTGTTTGATAATACCATTGACCACCACCACCAGGGAGCTGTCATTAATATCAAGAGTGCTCGAGTCCTGTCTTATTGGATGACTGGTTCCCATTTCCAGTCTCGGAGATAGACCTCTTACCCAAATAACTGAGAGAAATTATTTCCCAATCCAGGGGCGATCTTTACTTCCATACAAATGGATGTGACCATTCTTATTATCCACCAGATAAAGTAACAGATAAAATAACCATAATCCTAGCCTTCATGTAAACATCCAACAAATGTTATTAAATGGCCAGTGTGGGGGTGTAAAGAGGATAAACAACATGATGAGAAGTGTGTGGAAAGAATCATGGTCTATTTGGGAGTAAAAGTAAAAAAAAAAAAAATGATAATCAATTTCTCAGGACATCTAGTCCAACTCATCATTGAGTGCTTGAGCAGCATCTATGACAAGTGGTCAATGGAAAGCTTGGATTTTACACAAATAAAACCACCCAGTCGTAGGTTAGTGGTATAAGCAGCAGGTACTTTGAAATCATGGTGCCCTGAGTAATCTAGGAAGGCTTCCTGGAGGAGATGCTGAAGTTGGGTCCCAAAGGATGGACAGTCACAAGACTAGAGGTCTGCAACGTGGAATGATGATTGTAGGATGGGATCAGATGAGATGAGATCTTAAAAGACAAAGCAAGAAAAGTATCTTATCTTATATCTTATCTTATCAGAGAGAGAATGGGAGTGAGGAAGAGGGGCAGAGGAAGAGAGAGAGAGAGAGAGAGAGAGAGAGAGAGAGAATCTTAATCTTAAGAGTGAAAATCTCCACATTGAGTATGGATGCAGGGCTTGATCCTACATCCCTGGAATCATGACTTGAGCCAAAATCAAGAGTTGGATGTTCAATCGACTGAGCCACCCAGGTGCCCCAAGAAAAGGTCTTTAAGTTCTAACCTAGAGGGAAATGTCCACTGACCCTTCCTCAACTTTGGGTAATGTAAATGCTTCTAGCTAGCTTACTTGTATTTAAAAAATCATGCATGATTTGCAACTTATTGGTATTTTTCATTTGTAGGAAAATTAATAAAAGTGATTCCCTCTCATCTATATCATGGTTTGGGGAGAGAGAATTAGGCAACGTATAAGTTTGCATATGTTTAAATTTTCTAATACCAAGTTTGAGAGAAGCACGTGAAAATATTTTCCTCAAAATCTGTGCAGTGAGGCGATTGGGTAGATAAAGTAATCGATCATTTGTCCACTCTATAGCTAGTGAATTTGGCATTTAGGGGTTCATACAAATGAAGGATGCTTTGGGAAAACTTTTTCTGATTTGTATGGATACTTTTGGGGCCAGAATAAAAACTGTTTCATGAACATAAGGAATTAAAGCCACTAAGAGATACAGTTCAAAGAGGAAAACATTTCAACATTGTAGGACTTTATTAATAATTATAAGTCTGGTTTTTTTTAATTCTTTGAAGAAAAATTTATTTCTTTTACAATAAAATTGTAGATAAGAGATTTAACTTTGATATTTGAGGTTGTATCAAAATAGGTCGCCAGATCACTATATTAACCACAACCAACCAAATTAAACGTAGGTAGGCTCTTTAGTTGAGGTATGTTACCTAAAACTACAATTTCTAACTCACGTATCATTGTTATATACTTTATTTGTTTACTGTTTTTCTTCCAAAGATTGTCACCCTTTAGAATCTGTTTGAAGCTTTCAAAAAATCTTTTTTGCTACGTGGGCAATTTACTTTTAGTTCAGTGGAATTTTATGTGGATTTTTACAGAATATGTAGCAAAACAAATTCTATCCGGAACATACTTAACAATATATTCTGGAGGCAGCTTGCATTCAGAAATCAGGTTCATCTTCTGAAAGTATTAGAAAGTTAGTAGATTTTTGTGCCTGAGGATTTAGACTTTACAATTGGCTACATTCAATCTAGTTTTACCCATAATGTTTGGAATCTAAAGGAACCAAATCACAAAAAATGCAATTTAAAAACTACTGAAATATTTCCTCTTAATACTGCCAAATAACAGATAAGGATGCCTGGGTGGCTCAATCGGTTAAGCATCCAACTCTGGATCCTGGTTCAAGTCACGATCTCATGGTTCATGAGATCGAGCCCCGAGTTGGACTCTGCAGTGACAGCAGGGATCCTGCTTGGGATTCTCTCTCTCTCTGTCTCTGTCTCTCTCCCCGCTCTCTCTCTCTCTCTGCCCCTCCCCCTGCTTGTAAAGGTAACCCATAAAGAGCTGAGAGCAGTAGCCAACCAAGTGAACAGAAGTGAGTAATTAATAATTGAGTAACATTTTGGATATATATCAATTAAAAGCTTTGCTTTTAGTTCTCTTCCCTTTTGTAAGTCTGTCTTTCCTTAAATCTTTATTCACCAATATATTCTTCTTTCTCTGTCGAATGGCCATACCTAACCCCCTTCTGTCCTTCACCCCCTCCCCCCATCCATGACCACCCAAACACTCCAGGACAGAGTAATTGTGATGAGGTCAGGGGCTGGAGCAGTTCAATGGCACGGCAGTCATGCTTTAGAGAGATGGTAGCAGAGACCATTTTGATCAGCAATAAAGGAGAATTTTGAAGTGAGTAAACATTCTGGAGGCAGCTTCCATTTGAACTTAGGTTCATGTTCTAAAAGTATTAGAAAATTAATGGATT